CGGGCTCATAATTGAGCCTTGTTCAATGGCAATTACCATGAATTTAGGGACCAGTAGTCATGGAAATGACGCCATTTTGCCTGAAAATCCGCCATGTTTTTGCGGACACTTCGTTGGCTGAACGAAGTATAGGAGCAGGTCCTCCAGTTGTTATACAGCTCAGTGGGTACAGCACGGGTCATCAACGCAACCAGTCATGCGCAGAGAGTCATTGGACCAGTGTTCTCAAACAACCACGAGGGAAGTGAGCTTTGCTTTATTGCTGAATGGGCATCCAACTAACTCCACAGAGTGCTGTAAAAGTATACAGCTATTTCAATTAAGGTTGTCCCCGGGCAAAGCGGAAAAGTCAAATACGAGCGAGAAAGGCTTACTGGGAATCGTTAAAAAATTAATGAATTCTTTAGCGATTCACAGTAAGCCTTTCGCGCTTGTATTCGACTTTTCCCCTTTGCTCTGGGACAACCTTAATTGAAATAGCTGTATACATATATAACAATAACAATTCAAGTTTACTTGATATTATATAGAGTGCTCAATACTTTAAGGAAGAGCTAAATATATTTTCCTCAAGCCAACGGCGCGGAGCGCTGTTTCGGTCGCATGACCGGGACGAGGGTACTAATTCCGCCTGGCTATTTACATCCGGGGAAAGGAAAGCATTAGCGAAGTCTAAAGTCCAATAATAATTGCAGGCGTGTGTTACTGTGCGTGGGTGGTCATCCTCACTGATCTCAAATATAGCGATTGCCATGAATAGCGAACGCTGATTGGTCCAATTTCAAGTTATTTGCATTACAGCGAGTGCATGGCGACAGCGAAAAGTGCGAAAAAGCAAAAATTTCTTTACTTCTTGCAAATATATTTAATATAAATTGGTAAATTGGAAAAGGTTTTTGACAAAAAAGGCATAAGAATTGCTAAAAGAAGGGCGCAAAGACGCCCACGTCAATTAATAAATGAATGTGTAGTTTGTTCTAAATATTGATGTATTGTTTGTTTTATAATTGCCGTCAAAGCTGATCGTTGCGCATAAAGAAAAACGGCAGCATATAATTTCAGTGTATCGTTATTGATTATCCTTTTTTATTATATTAAAATTTCTAAATAAAAAAGAAACAAAATTATTTGCATGCGAGAATTTGAAATCAATTTAATTTGGTTTTGTTGTCAAGGTGAGGGTTTCTGAACGCATTTATTTTGTACTTAATACTGAAAATGTTTTTTGTTGCTACTCCGAGTTTCATGCCGTAAAGGCAGTTATTTGGATGGAGAAACAATTCTCTCATTCAACCAATGGGAAAAGTGAAGCCAAGATTGGCGCAATTGTCGTCGATCGAAAAGCTATAAAAATTGTAAATATTTTAATATACTTTTCCCAGCTAATGTCAGTTATTTTCTCTAATGCACTGTGTTGTTTTTAAAGTTATCAGTTCATACAATTGTAATATTAGTTATCATACAATTATCGATCGTCAAAAAGTCGAAATTTCGGGCTGAAGTTGACGTCCAATAGCTCCGCCTTTGACTTCACTTTTTGTTCTTGCTCCAGATATATTTGGAGATCGTTGGGCTTAACCTACACATCTAAAAATTGAAAAGGGTAGTTTGCAATAATTAAATTTGCACAAAGCAACGATCATTTAGCTTGCATTCTGGAAATCATTACCTTGGTAAGAAGTTGAGAAGGAATATAAGTATAACAGTCAGACACTTCTCCGTGATGAACGTGACGTAAATCATGACTGTCCATGTTTCAAGACTATTTAACATCGCATAAATAGCATAAACAACGACAACCAAGACAACGAAATTGATCTTATAAAAATATTTTTCCTTAACCAGATGACGCATAACTACCTTTACGCCACAAAAATCTTGGGAAACATAAACAACATGGTAAATGAGGAACACAGAACCAGCACTAATGTTGAATAGCCAGAAACATTCGAACATCTTAGGCATTGGAAATAGATGGAAATTCTGGCAATTAAGAAAAGTTCGAAACTCGTTGAAAAAACAATCGGCGGCCCAGATGATGAACATGATCACTCCAACAGCTTGACCAAGGAGAATAGCGATAAATAATAGCCATTTAAAATTTGAAAAGAAAGTACAAAGGCGGTCACATTTTAACATCCTAGACTGACGACCACCAACGACTTGTGGCTGTTAAAAGAAAATCGAAAATTAGTAAATTACTTGACACTATTGCAACCGCAGTCAGTAATATTAATTCAATTTTTCAACCGGCACGCACCAACCTCGAATACGAAATTAGAAAAACAAATATAAAGTCACTGACATTAAGGCACTTTATTACTTTACTGACAATTACTGATTTAGTTGTGATATATTACAGTAATCCAATAATTTTACCGCGAAGATATAACCTTGCTTACAATGTATAATTATTCTCTTAAACATATTTTGTTACACTGTACATTTCAAGGGGTTGAATGAACAGTAAAAGTGTTATTCTGTCAACGTTTTGGGTGTTAGAATAACACTTTTGCCTGAACTCCTTCAAAAAAACAGTGTATGTCAATGATGATTAATTATTGCAAGATAAACGGCACGAGATTTCATATTTCATTTCAACTTTAATCTCGTATTCCAGGATATTGTATGCAACCGAAATTTCAAAGAATAATAAAAGCAAGATTGAACGTTAACGTTTATAAATCAAATGAAGCCGAATAGCTATTGTATCATGAAAACGTTTTATAACAATTGTGTGAATTATGTACTTACGAAATGAAATTTTTGTTACTTATTTTTTAGTTTAAATGAATACTCCGTCTTCTATAAGCTATTTGATGTAGGTGTATGGGTATAATACGTTGAGCAAAAATTGCTCAATCTTTCACAACTTCCACTGTCATTTATGTAATATATTTGCCGAAATATATCATATATTTGCATAGCCTACGAAGAACGTAATAATTGCTTGCATATCCCAGGCCGACAATATACAAATAATGAATGTTTATGATGCAATGGTAAGAATATTTTCATTCGGTGAAAGATGGAATGTTCCATTCAACGAGGCGACAGCCGAGTTGAATGGAACATTCCATCTTTCACCGAATGAAAATATTCTTACCATTGCACTCATAAACATTCATTATTTGTTTTATATAATACCAAAATAGACTAATATTAAAAAGTTTACTGTAAGCTCCCGCCATTTTGACGAGTCATGTATTTGCATTAAATCCCATTTGCTGAGTTTCGAATATCGGGTTAAAATAAACTGCGAACACCGTACGAGAAGCATTTTGACGGATGCGATTTATCGAAAACACAAAGAGTGCAATGGAATAAAGCGTATAGTACAATTGCTCTCGCAAGAGTGCAATGGAACGTATTCCATTGCACTCTTGGGAAATGGAATTTTCTATTCAATATCGAGGGACCATAAACAGCCAATTAAACGATCAGAATTCAATAAGGTATTATATAATATTCTCTTTATCATCCTACATGTCTTATCAGGGTTTATTTTAACGCGCAGTTCTACACAAAATGAGCAGTTCTAAACCCATTTGTGCAGTTCTTAAAACGCAAATGTGCAGTAACCAAATTAACGAAAATCTAACCCCAAAACAGTCTTCTCATTTACTCGTTTTCCTTGTGGATGCTGAGATGCTCCAATGCAATATTGGCTTATTAAAAAAATAAATTGGACAAATTCTGTCAATTTTGTGGGGGAATTGTGTCAATTTTGTGGTTAATTTTGTGATTTGTGGAAACTTTTTTTGATGTTGTGGAAAATTTTGGCATGTACGAAAAAAATTTTGGACCCCTAAAATGGTACACTAACCGAAATTTTTTTGGCAACGTGGGGAGGTCGTCAAAATTAATTTGTTCCAGAAAAAAATTTTCGGCACTTGTATGTGCAGTTCGAAATTTTTCTTAGAATAAACCATGTGTCTTATCAAAAAAGGCAAACAACTGGTAGAATAAATGCGTCAACTTTCTCTTGGCTACAAGTATTTATAAAGCAACAGAGTAACAGAATAGTAGCACGTAAAACAGCGAACGGCAGTAAGTTTATTACTTAAACCAATATATCTTTGTTTATGTGATTAACACTGCATTTGTATTCTAATTTATTTTATATAGCTGTAAAATTGTTAGTAGTGCATTTCAATCATAGAAATACTCTGTCTATTTTTAACTTTATTCGACATTCAGTGATTTCTGATTACTGTTTTAAAACAATTGTTAAGTATGTTCTGAATCACATACGGATATTTCAGCATAAAAAAAACTTGGCGCACAAAATTTAAAAAGTATAACCCTCTCCCACACTGAATTTCGCACTGCATTTTTCAGATGTTGGAAATCTTGTGTTTCACTTAATCAAAACCAAGTGCATACTCAGGATTATAGAACCTATAGAGTGATCCTTGCAGACCTTAAACAATCAAATTAACATATTATTAGCCCAATACAAACCTTTATCCCAGTCAACACATAATCAGTCTCAAAAGTAGGCCTACAGTGTATTTGTTATTTCCAATCCTGCTCAAAATCATTGGTACATGGGTGGTTAACACATTCCCCATGACGAGTGATATATTAATACAGACACGTTGGCAACTAATTTAGTTGTAATGAATTTGGCAAGTTGCTTGTGTGATGTTACTCTGAGTGTATATTCACACAAAGCAGGCTCAGGGCCTGAGATACGGGGAAGTTGACACCACCCAGAACGTAGGTAGGACTGCTATTTGGGTTAAATATTTCCGCGCAAAGGGCAAGATATTTGGGTTTTTCGGGTAAATTTTCGAATTTTGGTATGAAATATTGAGGTAAAGTCACTGGAAAAAATTTGCAACGTACTCGTCCAGAAAATGTTTTCCCCTAAAAAGTCGTCGACATGGGGAGATTGTTGGTCTCCGAAAATATGTTTTCGTCAGTCGGTTGAAATCACCTTACACCCCCTGAAGAGTTCCCTGAGGACGGCCCTGAGCAGGCTTGAAAAATATGCCTGGCCACGGTGTGATTCGAACCTACTGTACGACCTTGGGATACTAGCCCAATGCTCTGCCAACTGAGCTACGCGGTCAGGTCGGTTAGAGTATGTGATATTTCGAAACTTTACTGACCGCGTAGAATTAATATTGAATGTTAAATTATCTAAAATGAGCTCAACTCGTCGATATTCGTCTTAGTGAGAAAATAACTAAAAAAGAACGTCCATAAAACATGGTTCAATTAACCCCTGAACAGAAAACATTTGTAATCAAAACATTTTACGAAACAAATGGCATGCAGCAGGCTCGCATTGCTTTTGGATTGACTAACTTTGCATAATTAATTATTTTCAATTCCCAACAATGGAAGAATGTGATCTCGACCGGCAATTTTTATTTGACGAGTACGTTGCCATTTCTCATCGTTACATCGATTTAAAAAATATGTCATAGAGAAGCTAAATAACAGCTCTTTCGTCTTATGTAAAAATAGACTTGTTTGGCTATTAAGTTTATGATGCACGACAGCCCGTTGAATTTCCATAGCGTTTTTTTGAGACGCCCTATAGAAGGTACTATAGAATAGTTTCGCTAACCAAGAGGTGAATGTTTACAATCACAATTTTGGAAATGCTTGTACATTGTAGTTTGCCCTCGCGTGACCACGTGTTTTTCATTTTTACAAACGCACAGTGCCATTTAATAAAACAAAAACTTGCAGACCTCGATCGTTCACCTCAGTCAGTTGCTGCATGTATCCACCATGCTATCGCTTGGCCAATACAGCAAGACCTCTGCTCCGTATTTTCCCACACGTCACCACTATCGATCTGCACGCTTTTTGGGTTAATATTGACTGATATTGCCATTATTAGTTAAATATGCACAATTTGGAACAGTATACGTTATTATCTGGTATTTTTAAGAACACTTACTGTCCGGAGTTGCAGTCTCATAAGCGTGACAACAGCGACATCATATGTTGATAAAAATTCATAGGGAAAATTATTGAAATACGTAAACAGCTTGCAAAAAGCGTGACACAGCTAATATATAGTGTTTTCAGTGTTTCTTGCCGCAGCAAGTTGGTCGTTGCTTCAACTAAAAATTATCCTGCGCGATGTGCATTTGTTGTCTTGCAGAAAGATAGATTTATTGATCATTCAATACGTCTTTTGGTTATTTGCGAAAAGAACTTTCCTTCACTGGTTCGGTTATCACTATAGGTTATCTACGCCATGTTGATTGAGGTCCTCATTAGTGACGTCACATGCTGGAGCAAAATTTAAAAAAACCCCGCAAATTTGGAAGGCCATGCATGAAGACCAAATTTCTATATAAGTTTTATAAGATCAAATTCAGCTAAGTTTGCAGCGAACAGGAGATTAATACTGTTCCTTCGAATTGACCGTAGAAAACCACACGCAGTTTATTCCGCATTGCGTTGCTAATTCGAAGTGTCTCGTACAATTAGTTTGACACTTTATAAGAGCTGTCGGCGTGCCAAATTAATTTAGTTTGACACCGCGAGACGCCTCCGCAAACGCCGAGTACATCCTGTATGGAATCTTGGCGCCAAGAAATTATCTAAACCACTTTTATACAATTCATCTAAACAATTTAATCCGACTTAATACGGAGTTTAAGCTTCATATTTCCGGGAACGGCAAACGGAAGGTTCGAACGTTCTTGGCAAAATTTTCGTTGGACGTTTTTGTTTCATATTTTCATTAATGTGCAAAAATAATAATCATGCATTGCAGTTTTAAAACAGCAAGTTCATATACTCCTTATTGCCTAATACCGTAAATGTTTTCTTTGCCTGGCGTTTGCCGTTTGACGTATAACGCGAAGCTTAAACTCTCATATGCAAGAGTTCCACGTCATAATTATCGATAATTAACTATCGAGTACGTTATGCTGAATTTTGTCGAATTTTCTCCACACATACAGCCACGATATATTAGATAGCTTAAGATCTACGACGTCGACGTCAGCTAGGACGGCAGGGCTAAGCAGAAGACTGGGACTAGGACGTTGTCTTAAATAAGTCGATAATAGCTCAAGTATACGTCCTCAAATATTTAGGGCGGCAAGTGGAAGTAAATTGGTAATAGTTTTTGAAGTGTCCATGCGTCTCTCTCAATTTGCTCGTCGTCCACCAAACGTCGACAACCTAACAACAAGAGTTCACCGTCGTAAATACAAAAGCATAACAAACGGTAATGGTTCACACGTCTATTTTAAACTCATTTTCAAAAGAATGTAAATATTTATAGTTAAAATGTCTACGTCGTAAGTAATGTCTACGTGGAAGTTTATTTATTTAGGACGACTTCCTAATCCCAGTTATCTGCTTAGCCCTGACGTCCTAGCTGACGTCGACGTCGTAGATCTTAAGCTATCTATTATCAAGCGCGACGTTTCAAGTAGATGTTAAACGATGTTTAAAAGAAGGAATATCCAATAACGGAACCTTAACTTATACAATCAAAGTAAATAGTTATCGAAAACACCTTTTTGTGTATATATAAAGTAAACAACAATAGTTCGTGGATTATATTCTACATTAAAAGGAAACAGCAATTGCAATGTAGAATCAAGTTGAATAGATAAGCTAGACACATATGAAATATTATCATTTATTATACTAGAAAATACATGCATGCAGAAACCCTCGCCTTGCTGACAAAACCGCTGTATTTTCCGAACATGAAGTATCTAAAGTAGTTGTTATGGTAACACGATCATTTTTTAAGAGTATTCTTACAAATGAAAATCGCCTAAAAATATCACTTTTAATTACAAAATTATCAATTTGACAATTTCCCAACATATATATGTTAGGTATGTAATTATACGTAATACAAGCTTCAATTTAAGGTAAAATTCAACCACAAACAATTCACAAAACGTTTTAAAGTGATCTTTATAAAACTAAACTGCCTTTAGCTATTAAATGGCTTTATCGATAAACTTTGAGTTTGCAATAAAATGATTTCAAATTCTCGCTTGCAAATTACTTTGTTTTATATTTTTTATAAAAAATTCAATATAATAAAAAAGGGAATCAATATTAAAGATACACTGAAATTATATACTGTCTTGTTTAGTTGTTTCATATACGCAAAGGCCGTCGGGTTTTAAAGCCATTATAAAATCAATATATAAAACAAACTTACCTTCGTTAACGTCGGCTCCCTTCTTTTAGCTGATTCTTTCGCCCTTTCTTTCTTGAAATTTACAAAATCTTGCAGAAATACGAGCAAAAATGAAGAATATTTGCAAGAAATTTATCAATCATCAACTAATCAAATCAAGAAATGTTTGCTATTTCGCTGTCGTCATGCAGTCGTTATAATCCCCGAGCCGGCGGCGCGAAGCGCCGTGCGAGGGTACTAATTCCCCCCGGCTATTTACACCCGGGGAAACGAAAGCATTA